TATACGTCGGTAAAGAAGCCCCTCTGATATTTACCTTGACCAGGATAACATCAGAAGTAAAGGAAAAATGGGAACCGGGTGCTGTGGTACAACCACGTAGCCTGTAGTGGGGGTATCAGGGAGTCGTGTACCATGCGGAGGCAAGGGATATTGGCGTAATATTCAAGTTGCAGTGGTATATCAGCACTAGGTGTCGTCCAGGTATTGCCTTTGGTCGTTCAAGCTCAAGTTGGACCCAGAGCGAGACCAAAGGAAGGACCGAGGAAGGACGCGAAGGGATTTTTAAAAAAGCTCCGCAGTGCCATGGAGAGCAGCGCGGTCGAACATAGCTGACACTGAGCCCCGGCTCGTACTCGCCGAAGCGACTCGGACCTGCCGGGGTTGACTCGTATTGGCCGGTAGCGGCTCGGATGGCTCGGACGGCTCGAACGGCTCGGATGACTCGGACGACTCGTACTCCTGGATAACGGGACGCCCTCAGAATGTCATTCGCGCTGCTTCCGTCGGTGAAATTTTGAAACCAAGAAAGACAGGCGAAGCTTCAAAAGCTTCAATGACTGAGGTCAGTCAATGAGGTCGGCAGCTAGGCACATATTTTGAGAGATACATAACGATTCGATTACTGTGTCAACGAGGAAACCTGGAGTGAGATACAGTATCTCTACACATTAAGTCGGCGGTGAGGAAATTAACACACTGCTGAAGCGTGAACAAGCGCTGGGTCGGCATGTCTGGCCGGGTGGAGCTCTTTGTTTGGATGTAAATACCATCAAAAACCTTGATTATTGAAAATGTTTCCAGGGATTCGTAAATAGCTGTAATAATAATTTACGTGTGCTCCACTCGGCTCGGCCCTCCAACCAACCTCTGACTCCATTCTGCGAATAAAAGGGAACACAGCGGCAATATTGATGGTGACTCTGTTCTTTCTCCACTATGGGTCTCACTTACGTCGACATCGGTGCTGCAGGTGTTGCTCTGTCATCTTTTCTTCTGCTGTACATCCTCAACAGACGCAAAAGACTTGACTTTTTGAACGGTCCAGAGGGAGAAGGCTACCTATTCGGTTATTGTTCTGCTTTTCATTGTGGATGTACAAGGTCACTGACCGATCACAAAAGGTGTCGAGTACCTCCTAAGGACCGAACAACATGTCGGCGATCTCACCTTTCGCTGGATTGAATCCTTTGGCCCGACATACCGCCAACCTGGATCCTTCGGTCAACCCAAACTCATCACCGCCGATCCTCGTGCTATACACCATATTCTACATGCCAAAGTGAATGAATATCCCGAAGCTCGTGATGTAAGGAGAATATTAGAGTTGATTTTTGGGAGAGGAGTGCTTTGGGCTGTTGGGGAAGAGCATAGGAAACATCGAAGGGTGTTGAGTCCAGCATTTTCAATTAACCATCTGAAGAGTTTCGGGATGCTGTTTGAAGAGCATGTAGCGAAGGTATGTGAATTGCGCGTGTTGCTTCCCTTTATAGGTACTGAAGTACTGATCGAACATTCAACGGGTAGCTTTCGGAGAAATGGAACGTCGAATTGGCAAAAGAAGTTGAGATGTTTGACGTTATCCCATGGCTGCAAAAAGTGACGTTAGATATTATCGGTGAAAGTACGTGTCTGGCCCAATACGGTTTCGTTTGTAGCCAAACTTTTCCATTGGCAGGCTCCTTCAACTACCACTTTGACGCCCTAGAAAATAAACCGAACGAACTAACCAAAGCGCTCAAAGACCTCGATGAACTGCATGCTGCATCCCCTTCACGTGCTCAGGTCCTTGCGGTGTGTATGTTACAATATATTCCACCGTGGCTTTCAGCATGGCAGAATCAACATTTCCCGACTCCGGTAGAGAAAATTGCAAAGAGGTACCTAGAGCTGTCAAATGAGAAGGCAAGAGAAGTCATGCACGACAGTGGGTTGTCATTTGAGTTGAGCAGTGAAGTGGAGGAGTTGTTGCTCACAGGCAAGGAGCGGGATGTGTTGAGTGTCTTGGGTGCGTGTTTAGTTTGATCAATATTTACTATCGCTGCGTGTTTCTGATGGAAATGAGTTAGTTAAAGCCAACCGTGCCGAGGATCCACGAAAACGACTCACAGAAGATGAAGTGCTTTCTCAGATGTCAACGCTCATTCAAGCCGGTCATCACACGACGGGGTATTCGATGGCGTGGATCCTTTACGAGCTTAGCCGTCATCCAGAGGATCAAGACAGGGTGTATAGAGAGGTTAAAGAAAGATCAGACCATGGTTATGATTCGTTGGAGTGGTTAGGCTGTTGTGTCAAGGTACGTGCGATTCTACTTGTCCAGTGTCACCAGATACAAATAGAAGGTATAGGAAGCATTGAGGCTGCATCCGGTATTATCCATTCTCTTTCGAGAGTCTGCTGTGTACGATTCAATACCGCTGGAGATTCCGGTCATTGGATCGTCGGGTCAGGAGGTTACGGAGGTGCCAGTCATACCCGGGCAGAGAATCATCATTGATATTGCTTCGTGCAACAGGTATTGATCTTCTTTATCGCTGTTTCACATTCGCTGACTAGGGTGTAGACTCGAAAGCGTATGGGGACCTGATGCCAATGAGTGGAATCCCGCTAGATTTCTTAAGGAGAATGATTTGCAGAGGGATACTTCGGTTGGTATGACTGGGAACATTCTTAGCTTTAGTGCGTCCTCTGCCTTGCCTGTTTTTGGTGTTTTTTACGCGCCATGCTCTACAGGTGGTGGACCTAAAGGCTGCGTTGGATTCCGATTCGCGTTAATGGAGATCCATGCTTTACTCGGTGGGCTTATTGAACGCTTTGAGTTCCGAGTACCGAATGGAATGGAGTTTCGAAGAGCGAACATGGGGATGATGCTCCCAGTCTCGGAAATCGAAGGAGAAGAAGTGTGCCCGGGATTGATTTTGGACGTGAAAGCGAGAGTATAGTAGGATCCCATAAAGCCCCTCCAAGTATACTATCAACTACATGAGCGCCGAACGAGCGGAGGAAAGATGTGTATCAGAGGCGCTTGAACCCGAATTCTTGACTTTTCAGCAAGGTAAATGCACAACATCGTGCGACTAATCTGTACATCAGTATGGCAAGCTATATGCTAATCGTACAGTTGATCAAGCTCGCATTCTACTGCTTTCCATGATACATCGGAGGATACATCCTCCCATGCATCTAGCAACTCTGCATTCTTCTCCAAACTCTTTCTGGCAGCCACATGCGCCTGGGTTCCCAAAACGATATTTCCGCACAATGTTTTGTCCTTGACACATCCTTCTCCGCGCACGATATCGATGATGACATTGACTGCTTTGTTGTGGTTGATGTTTAATACGTGACGATATTCTATGCAAGTCTGAGTGAGTATTCTGGTCGAAAACGATAGGAACGGAGAACGTACCTCTGAACGTCGCGTTGTACTGATCTGTAGACTGTGCCATATAGTCCTCAATACAAGCCGCCCCGTATTTATTATCGGTGCGTTGGTCAAGGCATGCAGACTGGTGAGAAAAATCTATGCATATGCTCTTCAGACCAAATGGAGAGATTTCGTCGTGCAGAGACGCCGATATGCCTATTTGAGTGTAACGCGCCCCCTCAATTTGGTTTATCTCATTCTTTATCAGTTATCTGCTTGTCCTTGTTTACTTACAGCCTCGTACCTAAAAGGCCGGCTACTCGGCTGTACGTACATGATTCGTTGTACTTACTCCCATCACAATCTCAAGAGTTGTCGTGCTCTCTCGGCCTTTGGCCTCGCGTTACCGCCCGCTCGCGTATCGAGCCTCTCGTCGGCGTACAAGCCGCCTTACATTGAGACATTAAGTCGAGTATATGATATCCAATCACCGTCTGAAACTTGCCACGTAAAGCCCACTTGGTTCCCGCATACAGAGCTGTTATGGGGCAGGATCTGTTTCCGTGTCAAATGCGGCATCGGAGTACGGTGAATTCAAAATGACAAACTTCCATCCAAAAATAGAATTCATAAATATGATTGTGCCAGTCTTACGCTCACGCATGTGTGGAAGGAAAGCCCGAATAACGTTGAGTGCGCCGAAGACGTTGGTACTGTTGGACAAGATGTGATTCTTCTCTCAGTAGCATATAGCAAGGTCTATGTGATCTTACTTGAATTGCTGGAAGCTTTCTTCGGGACTAGGATTATACATGGCGTCAGAGGCTTCGGCTCAAACTGATAGTTGATTAAACAATACATACGTGTTCTTCTCAACATGCCCAACAAGAATTTCATTTGCATTATTGACGATCACATCTACGCGTCCATAGATTGATATAGCCGTTTTCGCGATCTCGACCAGGGTTTCGAGTGGAGACGTAACATCTAGCTCGATGATAGCTACTCGTTTGGGTCCTAATTCAGAAGTTACCTGTTCAATGAAAGCGCTTTTGTCGGTAACAATTACTTGATCACCGCGTCCGATAGCGGCGAGGGCTAGTTTGGTGCCAATTCCGACGCTGGAATGAGAAGGGGGTGAGTAGGTATAATACAAGGGAAAGGCAATTGATGGATGTTATACGTACGATGTGCCTGTGATGAGCCAGACGAGGCTTTGGTTGGATGTCATCATTTTATTAACGATGTTCAGAGCAGGACTTGAACCAAAGCGACTTTCTTGATACGGTCTATATAGTTCAATGTACTCGGGAGTCATAACAGTCAAGGCAGGTCCGGGTGAGTCATCTGAGAGATAGCCATGCCGCGAGTAAGAGTTGTATTGAAGGGTGTTGTGATGGCAACCCGTCCGTAATTGGAGAAGCTTTAAGACCTATTCTGACGAGGATGCTGGTCAAGAACGAAGGTTTGCAGTCCAGTAGATAGGGATATGCCATAAAACTTCGATGATATGTATCCCAGTTGCTTGTTACATGTCGTCTTCTTGGAGTAAAGGTTATTGTAAAACAAGATCAAATGCTCAAGGTGAAGGGGAGAGGGGTGAACGGAAAAAGAAATACTCATACTGGTCTAGTGTCCCGGGAGGGAGTCGAGCCCTCGGCTTCTCGGTTGCAAGTATTCAACGGTGGGAACCACAACGAGATGATTTAACCACTAATCGACCAGGACGATGCAGACATTGCGATTTCATTCCATTCAGATGCACGGATCAATCACACCCTATCAGTACCAACAGAAACATCCTTCCAAGCCTCCAACAACTCCAAATTCTTCTCCGAACCCGACTTTGCAGCTCGATACGCATCACTTCCTAAAACGACATTTCCGGAAAAGGGTTTATCCTTTGCGAGCCCTTCGTTACGCACGATATCGATGAGAGCGTTGACGCCTTTAATTGGGTCGCCGGGTTGCTTGTTGCTGAAGGATTTACGTTGTGATTAGAACTGGAATGAAATGAGAAGGGGTAATGCGAACTTTGGAGCGTCGCTTCGTATTCATCTGTCAACTTTGTATAGTACGAGAGTTTTGAAATGTATGGTTTACGATCGGGTGGGTTGAAGCATTTGTTGAGGATATAGCCAAAATCGACGCAGATGCTTTTGAGGCCGAAAGGAGAGATCTCGTCATGTAGAGAGGATGAGATACCTGTTTGTGAGGTGTGATGAGTGAAAGAGTTGAGATGAATGGATTAGGCTGACGTACCGCGTAAAGCCCATTTGGTTCCGGCGTACAGTGCCGTCGTAGGTGAGGACCTGTTCAATAATGGTGAATCTATGTTATTAGAAGTGGAGGCAAAGGAATGCGTACTTCCATCCGACGATAGAGCCCATGAGTACGATGGTACCTGTTCCACTCTCACGCAAGTGTGGAAGGAAAGCTCTTGCGACATTTAGCCCGCCGAAAACGTTGGCGCTGAGAGATAGTCAGTTAGGAACGAGTGACGATATCAGGATGCATACTTGAATTGCTGGAAGCTTTCTTCGGGGCTGCATATAGTGATTAGTATCACTGAAAAAGAAATCGAGGAGAGACATACCTATTCTCCTCAACAGGACCTACGAGCATTTCGCCAGCATTGTTCACAATAACGTCTACACGTCCATAGATCGATATGGCTTTCTTTGCGACCTCGGCGAGAGTTTCGAGCGGTGAAGTAACATCGAGTTCAAGAACAGATGCGCCTTTGGGTGCGAGCTCGGTCGTGGTTTGTTCGAGAGAGGTGCTGCGAGTGATGGCGATTACCTTGTCACCACGTTGAAGAGCAGCGAGGGTAAGTTCATGGCCGAGGCCAACGCTAGAGTCAGCTGGTGTGAGCGAGTGGTATCTGGATAAGATGATTTGAGACATACGAAGTACCGGTGATGAGCCAGACGAGTTGATTCGATGACATTGCTGTAACAGTAGTGTAGCGAGATTTGCTGTCGAAAGAAAGGACAGTATGTAGGCAGTTTTTATAACACTTTGGCGCATTCCTGGGAGGTACAGTGGCTCAAGGCTAGTATCATATGGATGTACGATCCAAGAGCGGGAGTTGTATTGAAATGAACCGGTGACCAAAAGTTGGAGACAGGCTGAATGAACGTTTGAATTGCCGATATTGAGTAGAATTCCGAATGTAGACACGGCCAAATTCAGATGTTCACTTGATCAGAGATACCGCTGACTATTGCGCGTTTTGCGGACCTTTGTCTATGGTTCAGAGTTCTCGAGAAAGGAAGAATGGGCGAGGCACGAACATAGTTTCATATAACTTTGTTTCAATTTGAGTTCCTGAGATTTTGCGCTGATGCAGAGGTCGAGTTAAGTGCAGTATCAGACATGGGATTTCGATGTGTTCCTCTCATGGACATGACAGTTCGGAATCAAGAGTAATGTGGCTGTGTCAGGCACGAGCTTGGGAACGAGTGACTGTGTGACAAGCTGTGACAGTCGTGTTTTTCAACCGCGACGACAAAAACTGCCTCCAAAAGTGCTCTTCCTATCCTGTACTCGCCCCATGCTTTCCACAAATGAACCCACCATATCGAAGGACCAGCTTCCTCGACTCTCGGTCCGTGGAATATAGAACAGCGGCGTCCAACTTCTCCTTCGTTTCTCTGGTGTCAGACGAGATGATAATTTTCCAGTGGTAGTTTTTTCACTCTGACGAAGTCGTGCAAGTTATGCTGATCTATCCCCTAGGCTTGGTCAACCCTCACCGTATAAACCTTCCCTTCTAGTGCTCGCACACGTTTTCCTACTCGGAACCCAGCTCGACCGGCTTCTTTTGGCTTTTTTTTTTGACGAAACGTTGAGTTCACTGTTGTACCAACGCCCAGACTTCACGACAGCTACTCGTAACATGAACCAAAGGGTGCGTTCCGTGTTAGATGACACCGCACTTAGCACTGACTGGTCCCTGTGCCTATAGCATCCACCAAAACACACGCGATGCAGCTTCCTTCCATTTTCACTGTCCACCCAGCTACTCCCTCTTATTCAACTAATGCATCCCATCGGCTCAGAAGGCACATTTCCGCATCCGCTCGGGAAGTCGTCACAAGTGGTGATGCTCTGAGGGCTGGATGTCTTGGAACTACCGCCCCAACCCATCTATGTTCCACACCCATTCCTCCTCTACCCCCTATCCTCGTCCTGCGCTGCCTCTCCTACTTGTTGGTCCCGACATTGTACAAGTGAAATCACGAGCATGGATTTTGCGCACCATTCAGACTGTAGGCTTCATGAAATGCACCTCAGTGGAAGAAGACATTATCCGTCAATCCCTCCGCCTCACCCCTACCCATTCGTCACTACACCTCTCATTCCCCTACGATACTACTTTCGACGGCAACTGATGCCCCAATCGGCATCTCTCAGTACCGGAACATGTCAGTCGTTCCGTGAACCCTGTTATCCACATGTCGCAAGGAATAGCCATAATCTCCGTGCTGAGAACCAAGAATGCTCGTTGGGTCGTCACTCGAGGTGTGTCTTGTATTCTTGAGCGTTTTATGCTTGTCTCTCACTAAGATCGGATAGACCGCCTCTCGTGGTCTCTTACTCATCCGCAACGCTCATTATATGCGAACCCCTTGCCTCGCTCTGATAGGATCTCTCCTTGGCACCTATTCCCAAGATCTCATTCTGCTGATGGATAACCGACTCTACATTCCCGCTACTTTCAGCACGACCGACGAGGATGACGTTGTCCCCGACACACGCTGTTCCTAACATTCCTTATCGACTCTAGGCCAATAGTCAACCCCGGATGAGAAATATATCCTCAGCTTTTTGTTATCCTGGCAGCTAGACGACGCTCTTCTCTCGTGTTCGCATCCACTACGCATGTTATCATGATACAGAGACGGTACGTTTCGTTTTCTTTCTGTTGCAAAGCCCCTTAACCTCATTTCTTGTTTCGTTTAGGCTATACTATATGGCGTTCGGATGGCTGTAGAACTACCAGGACGTAATACTTCTTTCATGGAGAAGTACTTGTCATTGTTCAATGCAGTAGCTCAATATCAAGGCCGCGTGTGTAACGGTCTCTTCTGGTTTGATGTGCGCTGTCGTCATTCTTTACGTTGTACTTCCTTCCTACCCCACTTTACCCCTTCAATTGTTCAAGTCTTTGGTTCCAACCCTAATATTTACGCGCGGGTATACATACATGGACTCGAAGTGTTAGCATTTGAGCAGTATTGGCGAGGATAATTGACATCCTAAGGGATGTCGCTGGGTACTTCTACTACGGGCTGGCAACCTGGGGTTCTATGACTCGTACATAGATGTCTGCGGCCATGCCGAGATGCCAGCGCTACGGTTCTCATATATAAAAACATCGACCTTCCCGTCATTTCGTTTCATTTTACTTCCCCTCGCTCGTCATTCATATTATGGCTCTCCGACTCCCTCCCGAAATCCTTGGCGAAATCGTTGCATATCTCAATCGACAGGATATTGGGATGTGTTCATTGGTGTGTAGGTCGTGGCACCAGCAGGCCCGTATACATTTTTGGGCCAGTTTTATTATCCATACAACTTCCACCTCACTCGACACCTTCGAAGAGCTAATATCTGATCCACATTCGACTCTTTACGCCACGAGAGTGAAGGAACTTATCTTTGACGGACATAAACCTTCTCCACATCCTTACATACCCGTTTCTCGAATACGGCATCCTGAACGCTTCATGGCCTGGTGCGGAGAGGTGATAGGAAATACGACACGAGGAAAACAGCTGTTCGGTGATATCCAAACGCTGAAGCTCTCGAATATATGTTTCCCTGCATCACAGATCGTGACCACTCGTCTTCTGCTGACGCCGGAGACACAGTCCGCTTTCCTCAGCCACTTTCAGAAGATAACGACTCTTCATCTTCTCTCGGCTAATTTTGGGACACTGGAGCAACTTCTGCAAGTGATTCGTTCATATCCCCTGTTGACGAATCTTTGCTGTCACAAGATTGGGGTTAATCAGTCGCTGGATGACGAACCGCATTCGCGAGAGCTCATACCCCTTTGTGGATTGCAGACGCTGCACGTTGACCAAAGGACGCTACCTTTAATCCATGCCATGTGGATACGGGGATGCAGCTTCCCCAGTCTAAGTGAATTGATAGTCACATTCACGCCGGATACGTATATCCGTGAACCATACCCGCGGATTTTCGAGACAAGTCGCTTCACTACTCTGCTACCACTGGTGGGCGGGCATCTCGCGATTCTGGATTTACGATCCCTTACATGTAAGTTTGTCACTGCGTTTTACATTTCTCGTGACTGAGCCGCTATATTACTAGTCAAACATGAGGATAGTGCGAGGCTAGACCTATTCGCTATGACACCTGCATTGCGGATATTGCGCCTCTCTGGTACCTTGAACGCGATTCTGGAGCTTATGTTAACCAGGGGTCCACATTCCTCTTTACACGAGCTATCTATTTCAGCAAGCAATTATGATGAATTGTTGTCTGGTTTGGATGTTTTTGTAGAGGACTTTCTTCCGCATTTGGGGATGCTCGTCCTGGATTGTGTCGTCGATCTCATGGACACGGAGCTTAGGCATTGCGAGGCGTGGGATTCATCTTCATCTGAATTGGTAGCGAAGCCCGGAGGGCCAGTAGATATAATGACAAAGGTGACGACGGCACTTGTCCAGGAAAGTTTATTGTGGTGTAAGGGT